GGGTCCTTTTCAAGGACAACAAGGGGGGGTGGCCCTCCCCTTTTGGAGACTTCAAGGCACCATCTCCACCACTGAAATCCCTCAAGATTTCAGTGGTGAAGAGGCCCAAACACCAAAGTGTCGAAACTTGCACAAAATGGGGCCTTTCAAGGCCTAAGAGGGGTCAAACACCTCCAAACCACAAAACACTCTAAACAAACAATTTAGAGGGCCTAAAAACAGAACTTTTTTGTATTATACACCAAGCTCAAAAGCGATTTTAAGATAGGTAAAAATATAATGCAAAAATGGGGAATAAAGGGGCTAGTTTCTTACCCTTGAAGACCCCTTCAACAATGATGCTCCAACAGCTCCTTTTAGGTTGAAAACAGCTCCAAAACTTCAAAACCAACCTCTTAGAACCTCAGTAGCTAAGTGAAGGTGAAACACTATGTGTTTATGTGCAATAGTAAGACACAAACACAATTTAACACAAGAGGGAGATATAGAGATAGAAAGTGTATGGTTTCTAACCCTAGAACTCAAAATCCTAAAAATGGCTGTCTAAACTCTCTAGAATACCTCAAGTGTCTAACCCCTGCAACCAAAGAGAAGACCTCTCTTATAGAGCCTTTTTGTCTTGTAAAGCTTACAAGACAAGCTTCTCAAGAGGGAGATCCCTCCATACACGTGTATGGAGGGGAGCCAAATGCAAGACAGCTGTGACAAAATATCTGCAAAAGCAGATGCACAGTAATCGGCCGGCCAAAGATGCCATTTTGGCAAAAAAGAGTGCCGACCAGCACTAAATAGTGCCGACCGGCAATATACAGGGTGGAATCAAAAACCAGTCGGTGGCTTTTGGCCATGGCCGGTGGTGTGTAGGGATGCCTCACAAGGCATTCCCTGCCCCTCCAATGCAAAATGCAAGTGTTTGGTGCAAAACCAGACACTAAACGGTCGAGTTCGGAGATCCTGAGGCAAGGCACGTAGCCGAGACCTCCGAGAACTCCAAACGAACACAAACATGGATAATCACCGAGTGTTCAAACGGTGACGTCCGAGTCTTAAGGACGGTGAAAAATGGGGTGTCTACAGCACTGACCCTGAAATTAAAAAAGTTATTGAACAAAATAATTATACTAATCAATGTTTAAAAATAATTGGTAAACAATTAGATAAAATAGAAACTAATTTAGATGATTATTCGGCTACCAATACACCTACTAAACAATCTTTAGATCAACCTTTGCTTAATCTCCCTAGTAGTTGTTCCAAAAGAAATAGTTTAGTTACCCAAGATAATTCTACTGTTAAAGCTATAGAACAATTACTTACCAAGTTAACTACCTCTGAAAAGGCTTCACCTTCCAGTGAAAAAGGTCTTACTGTATTAAATCAACAACCTACTTTAGAACCTGTTTCAACCCAATCTGAAACCGATACTACTGATAATGAAATAAATCAATTAGCTCAACAATTTCAATCTCCCAATCTTAATAAAATTCATTATCCTAAACCTAATCCTACTACTCTTACGAAAAATTGGTATTCACGACCTACTCCACCTAATCTCCAATATGAAGAAACTAATCTTAATAATCAATTTTCTGTCTCTGCTAAAAAATTATACAAATGGAATATTGATGGTCTTAGTGAAGATCAAATACTTCAAAAATTAAATCATTTATCTATGGTTGCAAATAGTTATCTTAGTAACTACCCTGATTATACTCAGCCTGAAATTGTTTCTTTAATTACCTCTGGTTTTGTTGGTATGTTCAAATCTTGGTGGGAAAAATATCTAACTGAAGATCAACGCAAATCTATTTTGCATGCAAGTCAAAAAGATGAAAATGATTTACCTATCTTTGATGAAACTATTGGCTATTATAAACCTGGTGGTGTAAATATATTAATCTACACCATAGTCCGACATTTCATAGGAACTCCTACTAATATATATTCTCGTATACATGATCAACTTAGTAACCTTACTTGCCCTACATTAAGCGATTTTGGATGGTATAAAAATGTCTTTACCTCTAGAGTTATGTTAAGAGAAGATTGTATTAAATCTTTTTGGAAAGAAAAATTCATTAATGGATTACCTAGTCTTTTTGCTCACAAAATTAGAGATATCCTTAGTCAACCTCCTGGTGTTATTGAATATGATAATTTAACTTATGGTGATATAATTAGTACTATTCAAAAAGAATGCTTACGAATGTGTATTGATCTTAAACGTAGTCAAAAAGCTACTAAAGATAAACATAAGGCTAAATATGAATTAGGTAACTTCTGTAAACAATATGGTTTACCCCCTGTCGCACCTTCTTGCCGCAAAAAACATAAATACACGAAACATAAGTCATCTTCCAAATATTCTAATAAATATAAAAAGCATTATTCACCTTCCAAATCAACTGATAAATTCTATACTAAACCCAAAAAGAAATATTATAAGAAATCACATTCAAAATCTAAATCTAATAAAGATATTACTTGTTATAATTGTGGTCAAAAAGGTCATTATTCTAATAAATGTAAAGAAAAACAGAAACTAAAAGATAAAGTTAATCAACTACAAATTGATGATGAATCAAAAAATCAATTATATGAAATCTTTCAATTACACCAATCTGTTAGTAACTCTTCTTCTGATAATCCTAATACTTCATCTGATTCTGATTACCATTCCCCTAGTGATAATTCTGATAATAACATTGAATTAGGTTGTAATGATGTTTGTTGTAAACCTGTTAAACAAATCACTGTTCTTACTAAACAAAATCAAGAAGAAACTGCTCTTATTGAATTAATTAGTCGTTTAGAAGATCCAGAGTTAAATCAAAAATATAATGATAAATTAAAATCTTTACTAACCAATCATGATAAGAAACCTAAGTTTGATAAACCAATTATTAGTTTATCCAAAACCTTAGAAAGATTTAAAAATAAACAAAAAGAAGTTTCACTACAGGATTTACAACATGAAATTAATCAGATTAAACAAACCATTAAAGATTTACAAAGTAAAGACAGAGCATTAGAAGATGAAATTATTACATTAAAACTTAATAAAAGTCTAGAGAATTTCCAAGAAAACAATAACGAATCCCCTAATGAATCTGAACAAGAACCTGAACGTACTAATCCTGATAATCTTTTATTTGATAATCGATCACATCAATCTCATAATCATGAAGATAAAAGATTAAATCTGATCAATAAAATTCATATTCAAAAATGGTATTCAAAAGTTAAACTCGTAATTGATGATTTTGAATTAAATATTATTGCTCTCATTGATACTAGTGCTAATCTTAATTGTATTCAAGAAGGTTTACTTTCTACAAAATATTATGAGAAAACAAGTGAAAAATTAACTTCTGCTAATGGTAGTAAAATGCGTATTAAATATAAATTACCTGTAGCGATCCCGGTTTCGATCCTTCTTTCATGTTTTGCCACTTCGACTGGGCCGGTCGGGGGTCGAGCTGCCCGGTCAGTTCGCGGGGGTCCAGGGGGCAGCGCCCCTTGGCGGGTCCAAGGGCAGCGCCCTGGCAGGGGTCGAAGTGCCCGGTCAACTCGCGGGGGTCCAGGGGGCAGCGCCCCTCAAAACAAAAATGCAAAATGCATTTGAAGTTGCTTGTCCGCTCGAGCGGCCATTTATGCGCTCAAGCGGAGAATGTTTGGTTTCAGAAGTTTGACCTGTCTGCTAAAGTACTAGGTTAGTGTATTTGATGCTCGAGCTGGGCTTTCCACGCTCGAGCGGACCACGTTATATCAGTTCGTGAATCTGATATTTCAGATCACTTTTTCAGTCTTCTCTCTCTTTAAAACTCTCCAAAATTCCAGATCGGGAGTTTCTCTCTCTAGAAGTCATTTTCTCTCTTTGATTTCTCCAAATCCATTGGGATTTAGACCTAAATTCTTCACCAAAGTCGGTTATCTAGGCGAGGGCTACGTTGTGTGCAGTGGAGATCAAATTTCATCGTCATTGAACTTGGGGTTTTCAACTCGTTTCTTCGTCAAACTTGACGTAGGGATTTTCTTTGAGTTATATATATGTTTTTGCAAAATCAAGATGATTTTCGAAGTCATCCTTTGATTTGTTTTGAAAATTAGTGGTTGATTCAAGAAAAAGAGTGATTTTCAAAGTGGATTTACTATTTGATCCTTTGAGATACAAATTGGGGGTTTTAAACTATGCTGATTGAAGAAAGAGGATTTTGGTGAGATTTTGTCAAATGTTTGAAGATAGATGGTTTTGGTGAGAAAACCTAGAAATGGGGAATTTTTAAACAAGAAGTCGAAAATCTATGGTTGATATTGTTATAGTTATTTTGAATGCCAAACTAAGTGATGTTTGGAAAATTTCTTGTTTATATTGTATAAATGATAAATTTTGAGAGGCACGAGAGTTATTGTTCATTTTGAAAATTGTTATTCAAAATGTTGATTTAGTCTTGAAATGACTATGTTGTTGGAAATGTTTGAAATGTGGGAATTATGTTATCCCTTGGATTAATTGAAATAAAAACATTTATTCATCTTGTGAAATTACATTGAAAGGAGAAATGGGAATTTTGATCACAATGGTGGTATTGTGTGGAAGAATTGGAAATGGAAGAGTTGTTGTAATGTATTGATTATTGTTGCATTGGCATATCAATTCATTTGATTACATTGAACTTTGAAAGATAATTTTGAAAACTTGCATTGAGAAAAGAATGTTGAGAAATGAGTTTTCATGAAATGGTTTTGGGGCAAATACGGTGGTAAGTCTTGACAGGTGGTGTAGATGATAGGTGTCGAGCCTTCCAGTTGTTACTGGTAAAAATGACAAATGATAGGTGTTGAGCCTTCCAGTTGATACTGGTAAAAATGACAAATGATAGGTGTCGAGGCTTCCAGTTGATACTGGTAAAAATGACAGAGTATGGGTGTCGAGCCCTCCAGATGATACTAGTAAAAATGACAATTTGGTAGTACTTGTATAGTCTACTTGCAGACACCAACCTAGGGATTACCAGAGTTGTATTTACCGCCCCTTGAATAAAATGTGATAAATGTTGAGCAGTTGAAATGGCATGACATCATTGAGCATGTTGGTTTTCAAAAGATGAAAATGTGTTTTATTTTCAAAAAGGCATGGCATGGCATAAGCGTTCCATTTCTTGAGACTTGTATCAAATGTATATACTTTGTTAAGAATTCTCTACTGGGCTTTATGCTCACCCTACGGGATTTTTGTGCAGGAAAAGATGTGGTGATTTCGCCTAACTGAAGGCGTGGAAGTGTGTGCTGAGAGCACAATGTGCTCATAAGCTGTGACTCTGATTGTAAGCCAAGGGCTTATATGTGTGGGTTTGAATAACCGTTTTGTGTAACCAGGTTCAGGCCTTGAAACTTGTAAACCCTTAGGGGTATTTGTTGTTTAATTAATGGTTGTTGGATTAATTGTAATATCGCATGAAGACTATGTACATCACGTAATGCAAGTATGAGGATTGGTTATCGGTTTTACTTTAAAGAGCCATGACTATTGTATTACCATTTGGGCACGAAAATAGGGGCGTTACATTATCTAAAGTCCATATATGTCAACATAATGTCTGTTTCAAAACCTCATTTGTTTTAGTTAGAAATATGACTGATAAAGTTATTTTAGGCACACCATTTATATTTTTATTATATCCATTTACTACTTCTAGTGAAGGCATCACTACTCAAGCTTTTGGTCAAACAGATACTTTTAAATTCTTATCTCCTCTTGAAGTTTTAGAATTACATCAATTAAAAGATTGTTCTATTTCTCAAACTATTAATCGATTAACTCGTTAGTTACGTTTTCTCAAAGAAGAAGTCAATTATAAGAAAATTGAACAATTAACTGATCCTGTTATTATATCTCAAATTAAAGAATTTAAATTAAAATTAGAAACAACTGTTTGTTCTACTTTACCAACTGTCTTTTTGCATAGAAAAAAACATGTAGTCACTTTACCATACATTAAGAATTTTAATGAAAGACAAATTCCTACTAAATCTCGACCTATTCAAATGAATCATGAATTAGTTGAAATGTGTAAAAAAGAAATCAATGAACTATTAAAAAATCGAATTATTAGTCCTAGTAAATCACCATGGTCTTGTCCTGCTTTTTATGTTAATAAAAATGTTGAATTAGAAAGAGGTGTCCCTCGCTTAGTTATTATTTATAAACCATTAAATAAAGTTTTAGAATGGATTAAATATCCAATCCCTAATAAAAAAAAGATTTGATTAAAAGACTTAGTCAAGCTGTTATTTTTAGTAAATTTGATTTAAAAAGTGGTTTTTAGCAAATTCAAATTCATCCTAAAGATAGATATAAAACTGCTTTCACTTCACCTTTTGGTCACTATGAATGGAATGTAATGCCATTTAGATTAAAAAATGCTCCTAGTGAATTTCAAAATATAATGAACGATATTTCTAACCCATTTAGTCATTTTTCCATTGTTTTCATAGATGACATTCTTATTTTCTCTAAGTCAATTAGTGAACATTGGAAACACCTTACTGCATTCTTTTATACTATTAAAAGTCATGGTCTAGTCATCTCTGCTCCTAAGATTAAGTTGTTTCAAACCAAAGTCAGATTTTTAGGTTATGATATTCACTAGAATACTATTTTACCTATTAGTCGTTCCATTGAATTTGCGTCTAAATTTCTTGATGAAATCTTAGATAAAACCCAGTTACAACGTTTTTTAGGATCACTTAATTACATTGCTGAATTTTATAAAGACTTTAGGAAAACTTGTCAACCTTTGTTTGATCGGTTAAAGGATAATCCTCCTCCTTGGTCTTCTACTCATACTGCTATTGTTAAACAAGTTAAACAATATGTCAAGTCTCTCCCATGTCTTGGTATTCCTACTGAAAATTCATTCAAAATTATTCAAATTGATGCTTCTGATATTGGTTATGGTGGCATTCTGCTTCACTCCTCAATCATCTGAACAAATTGTTCGTTATCATTCTGGTGTCTGGAATAAAGCACAACTCAATTATAGTACTATTAAAAAAGATTAATCTACTGTTTTATGTATTAGTAAATTTCAAGATGATATTTTAAATCAAAAAATTTTACTTCATGTTGATTGTAAATCTGCTAAATATGTTTTAGAAAAAGATGTTCAAAATCTTGCTAGTAAGCAAATTTTTACCCGATGGCAATCTATATTAAGTATTTTTTATTTTGATATTGAATATATACCTGGTTGTCAAAATTCTATTCCTGATTTTCTTACCCGAGAATTTTTACAGGGGGGATAGGGATGACCACTCTATTTCTTGCTTACCATAAAACCCAAATTACCTATTACCGCGATCTGATTCACCAAACTGCTTACCGCATTGCCCGACTCATATTAGCCAGAAAAACTGCTAAACGTGCTCAATACATTTAATTTCACCAAATTCAAGCTCGTCGCCATTTACTTGCTGATTATTACAACTGTTTGGATTATCATCAAGCTTATTTAGATCTCCTTAGTGGTTGTTAATCTCTGTTGCTAATCTTTGTTTCTATTAAACAGATGTCTCGCCCACGGTCTCCTTCTAAAGCCTTGGTTCCATCTAGTCAACCTTTTGTTCCTCCTCCTTTGGAGTTAGTCACCAAATACCATCCTGTTGAAATAGTTAACCGTTACCAAATTCTTGGTAACATTCCTAAACCTAGTTACACATCTGCTCTGGCCACTGATCCTTTTGCTTCATCCAGCCAAGCAGTTACTCCATACCCTCCTAACCCTATTAAAACTGCTCGGTCTGATTATGTTAAATCTACCACTACTAATCTCTTTTGTAAAAAACCTAGTCACCCAAAGAGTCATTCTGTTCATGACCTAGTTAAATCCTATTTTCCTTCTGGATGACATTTTGTTCATTTCCATCCAGAAAAGACAATCACCTTCTATAAAGATATCCTATTCAACCATCAGTCAATTGTGATTAAACCTATTTATGATCGCACTTACACTAGTAAAGTTGTTTATCATTCACTTTATATTCACAATATTGTTTCCTTAGTTGAGTGGGGTTCTCCTTATCAACTTCGCGATTTACCTAATCACTCTCTTCAGTATAGTTATTATGACTATATTGATGCCTGGTTCAAAGTATTTTTATATCAAAATGAAACAAATAGTCACTCTTGGTTTCTCCTGTTTGATCAAAAGTTCAAATCAGAATTACTTACTTGGTTTTGGAGATGGTGGTCTCAGTATGGCGCCATTTCAGATATCTTTCCGTCTATCCTGATTGAACAAATTAACCATTTCTCAACTGTTTTCTCATTCACTCCACAACAAAGGAAATTTCCATAATTGCTTATTTTTATATCCAAATACAAAATCCCTTGGATATTCAAATGGCAATATGGCATTTCTGATGATGTTATTTACCGTCAACATATGGTTAAATGGTGGGATAACTTCAACATTTCCCGCATTGTTGAAATTGTTCAAACTGAATTCCCCATCAACATTCATGCTCCTACACCTGCCATGGTTAAAGCTTAGCAGATCCCAACTACTTCAATCACACAAGGAAGCCAACTTCCTACAGTCAACCTTGGAAGCCCATCTTCAAGTTCTTCCAAGCCCAAGTCAACAAAATTAGCAAAACCCAAAACTGCTAAATCAAAGTCCAAGACTAAAGCCCAGTCATCTCAGGCTCAGCCCAAAGTCAAGTCTAAGGATAAGCCCAAGTCCAAGTCATCCAAAGATGAGCTGCTCCAAATAGCTTGCCTTATCATGGCCCAGGCCCAGTCAGAATCTAATCAAGACAATTCAGAAGAAAGTTCAGACAATTCACATTCTTCTGAAGGTTCAACTACTCAAAACCCATATGGACCCGAGTTTCAAGATGCGCAGGATCCATATGCCTAATCAGCCCTCTATTAGATTCCATATAGATACAAATTAGCTTCAATCAATACTCTTTTGAGAAAAGTTGTCAATTTGTATTTATATTGATTCCCCAGTCACATGCTTGCCTCCACCCAAAGTAAATGAATAGTAAAAGTTACTATTCACTATTCACTATTTACTCAATCAATCTGCTCAACAAAAGTTAAAAGCTACATCAACTTTCAGTCAATCAGCCGAAAGCATTCGACAAGCCTACTCTTGCCCATGTGCTGCCAGCTGCTCTAGTCACAAGCTGCATAGTCAATTTTCTTTTCTATAAATTGTAATGTTTTAGTCAGATGAAGGCAGAGGTTAGAAAAATTGGAAACTTCGAGTGAGAACCAACACCTATCTCTGTAATTCAAAATCCATTTTCTGATTATGTATTTTGAAGCAACTCCTTGCAGTTACTTCCATTAAACAAGTGTACGTTATTTTAAAAAATTATTGTATTTAAATTTCAATATTTAAATTGTTATATTTTGTGTGCATATTATTCATCTTCTTCTTCCTCTGATTATTCCTCTGCGTGCTTCCCCTTTTGGTATACTGTAATTTAAAACGTTTAAAACAATATACCAAATAATGTATTTATATATTATTTAATATATAAATAATATATTTATTATATAAGTTAAATAAAGATAAACGAGTCGAGCTTAACGAGCCAAGTTCATGCGAGCTCGAGCTCGGTTCGTTTACTAAACGAGCCAAGTCGAGCCGAGCCCTTAACGAGCCGAGCCGAGCTTGTTCATGAACAGCTCGGTTCGTTTGCAACCCTACTTGCAAAACAATGTCTAGGATTCTTCGGGAGGCAAGGGCTGAAGATTATGGACATCACCATAATATTTTGTACTAGCGATAGAAGCTAAATCTGCATTTCTGGTTGTCAGCACTACGCTACTCCCACAATTGCCAATGGGAAACACATATCTAAAAGATTGCCACGCATAAATATCCCATACATCATCGAAAACAAGCACATACCTCTTTTGTTGCAGGAAAGCATTAATTATCCCTTTCAAGCTGTTGGTATCCATGTTGTCCATCCTTTGTGGGACTAGTTGCTTGATTTCTTCAAATAATTGTTCGACGATGCCTTTTAGAAGCACCTCAATCTTGAAGGATTCAGAAACAGTGATCCAAACACGACTCCGAAAATGATTCTTCACAACTGCATCATCAAAGACCTTTTTAACCAGTGTGGTTTTGCCCAATCCACCCATTCCTGATATGAAAAACACCTTGAGTCTGGAGTCTTCATGCGCCAACCACCAAATTAGTTGCGATTTGGGCTTGTCGATGCCCACAAGCTTAGATTCATGGAGTAGAAGGGCATCGCCACGATAATCATGGCATGCTATGTTAAGACCAGTGGACCTTGAGCTTGAGCCTTGCTCTGACATACCATATTTGTCATGGTACCTCTGATGTCCCTTGGAAATATCATCGACTTTGGACTTCATTCTTTGAACTTCAGAACCAATTTGCTGATGAGCTATTAAAGTCTTAATACAACAAGAAACCTTACGAAGAAAACCACGAAATCCAACGCCATGATGATGTCCAAGGTGAAGCATGAACAACTCGAGAACATCTCCAATGTCGTACGCAGCTTCTCGAACTTGCTTGACCCATACGAAATTTGAGTTCGGGATCGTTCTCTTCCATAGCATCGGCAACTCTAAGGAAAGCTGTCATGCGCTCGAATCCATCTCTAATGTATTGGATCTCATCTCGAACTCCGGTCAACAAATTGGCCTCTTGTTGGAGGAAGGGTGCGAAATTGGATAGTAGATGGAACACTGCAGTCTCAGCCATTTTGCAATGTTGATGAGAAATTAATAATGGTGATGGTGGTCACAACTCTAAACTAAAAATGAGAAATGTTGTATATGATTCAAAATCTCATTTTTCTTCCACAAGAACTTGTTGTTGGAACAATCTTCTGTGTAAATAAAATAAATCGAAACGACTTCAAACAAAATAAAATAAAACTTACAGAATTTATTTTGTCAAACCAAATAAAATCAAAAGACCAAGTCGAGTGTGTGACACTTTGTCCTTAAGACAGATTCGCCCCGCTACGGTGCTTACGGTTGTGTGGCGCCTATCTCCCAGGATACAATGATCTTCACAAACTTATTGTAGCACACCAAACAAATTTGTACGGCGAACCAAACCTTGTGTTCTAATACTCTCTTTAATTTATTCTAAAACTAAAATGAAGAATAATGCAAAAATAGAAAATTCAGGACAGCAATGAGACAAAATTTCAGACTGTTTTTCAGACCCCTGGACTGCTGGAATCAAGGCTGAATTTATAGGCAAATATCCAAAGCCCCGAATAGGTGTTGAAAGGACTGAACAGGTTTGATTCAAAAATCAAAACAGATCTATAACTGATTGAACAGATTTATGCCCGTTGTACAGGAACGGTTATATTTCTTTCAAACAATTTGAAGTAGCTGTAGGTGTACAAAAAACTAAACTGTTAGAATATATAAATTATTAAACTATTAGACTAGTTTAATCAAAATAAAGCCAATAGTATAATAGATTTAATAAAACCTGTTTGGAATTTAAATATTAATCTATTTGACAAACTTTGGGAAACCACTATAGGAACCCAAAAATTTGAATTTAGATTTAAATTAAATTCCCACAATAATTTCTAATTGAAAAAATTCAAAAGAATTTTATCTAAAAAATTAATGTTAAACCCGAAAATGACGTCAACTTCTCATTCACTCATAATTGGTTTTGACGTTCCGTCTTCATCGTGTGACTTGCCACGCGGCAAGGAACACTTTACCTCTTCGGACCCACCCCAAAAGACGTTTGGGACCCACTCAAATTTGGGCTAAAAAATATGCCTATATTAAACTATTTTTCCAACAATTCCCCACATGAATGGAATTTGACGGAGAGAAAATGCAACATGATCTAATTTCAGAGAGTACAGAAATTGGAAATATTCTGCAAAGGATATGTAGCTTTTGGCTTTGAACCTTCCCTTGTGAGACACTATCAGATTTACTAGCTAACCAGTGAACATGATGTCTTGAACTGTTCAGTCGTTTGTGTAAACCAAGACAATAGAACTCACACAGTATATCCCCAGACACAGTTTAGTTCTCACTATTGTGTTCATTTTGGCCCTGAACAACCTGGTCTTTCATGAGTGCTCTAGAGAATTGTAGCCCTTCTCAAATCTCATAGAACCGGCCCAGTTCACACTCACATAGGTGATTTTTATGAATTGTATCCTGCCATACTCCATTAGGTTTACCTAGATATAAGAATCATTAAAATTTTACTTAACCTCAAATGCTGCAGACATCACTATTTCATCAAAGAAATGGGTAGGAGTTAGACTCCCCAGTGATCCTTCTGAGTCATTCACAACTCGGTTGTCCCTTTGAACCTAGATCTTGGGATCTCCAGTCAACTAGGTTGGGTTGCCGTTGTGGTAACTCTTATTTAATAGGCTTTAGTCCCATTCCCCTCGATGAATTCTCAACTAGCTCTCTTGCTAACCCTTTGGTTAGTGGATCCGCTATGTTGTCTTTAGACTTAACATATTCTATGGAAATAATTCCATTAGAGAGTAGTTGTCTTATGGTATTATGTCGACGACGAATATGTCGAGACTTACCGTTATACATATGACTCTGTGCTCTACCTATTACTGATTGACTATTGCAATGTATGCATATAGCAGGCACCGATTTTGCCCATATTGGAATATCTTCAAGGAAATGGCGAAGCCATTCTGCCTCTTCCCCTGCTTTGTCTAAAGCTATGAATTCTGATTCCATAGTAGGCCTAGCAATGCAAGTCTGTTTGGAAGATTTCCAAGATACAGCCGCCCCACCAAGAGTAAAGACATACCCACTGGTGGACTTTGAGTCTCTTGTATCCGATATCCAATTTGCATCACAGTATCCTTCAAGTACTGCTAGATATCTAGTATAATTCAGCCCAATATTACGAGTGAATTGGAGATATCTTAGAACCCTTATAATTGCTTTCCAGTGTTCTACTCCTGGATTACTCGTATATCTACTTAATTTACTTACTGCATAAGCTATATCTGGGCGAGTGCAGTTCATCACGTACTTTAAGCTTCCAATAATTTGGGCATACTCTAATTGAGAAATACTACCATGTACATTCTTAGAAAGATACAAATTAACATCTACAGGTGTTCTAGCAAGATGATCATCATCTTTGCTGAATTTGTCAAGTATTTTCTCAATGTAATGAGATTGTGACAAAGCATAACTTTCTGATGTTTTGGTGATTTTCATACTAAGAATTACATCAGCAATGCCCATGTCCTTCATGTCAAAATATTTATTCAACATTTTCTTAGTAGTTTTAATCATGTCATTATTACTACCAATGATGAGCATATCATCTACATAAAGACAATACAATGACATAACCTTTGTCAGTGTTTTTAATAAAACACATTTGTTACACTCATTAATTTTAAATCCATTTGACATCATTTCCTTTCAAATTTCTCATGCCATTGCTTTGGCGCTTGTTTTAAACCATATAATGATTTAACCAATTTACACACTTTCTTTTCTTTTCCTGGAACAGAAAAACCTTCTGGTTGTTCCATGTAAATTTCTTCATTTAACTCACCATTTAAAGAAGTGGTTTTCACATCCATTTGATGAATTTCTAGATTGTATAGAGATGCAATGGCAATTAGCATTCTAATGGATGTTATTCTAGTAACCGATGAGTATTGTGTCAAAGTAATCAAGACCTTCTTTTTGTCTAAATCCTTTGACCACAAGTCTTGCTTTGTATTTGTCAATTGATCCATCCACTTTCAATTTTCTTTTGAAAATCCACTTGTACCAAGAGGTTTACAACCTGGTGGCAAATCCACCAATTCCCAAGTGTGATTTTGCAAGATGGATTCAACTTCACTGTTGACAGCTTCTTTCCATAAAAGAGCTTCAGGACTGGACATAGCCTCTTTAAAAGGTAAAGGCTCATTTTCTAACAAAAATATTAGGAAATCTGGACCAAAAGATTTTGAGGTTCTAGCACGTTTACTACGCCTAGGTTCCTCTTCCTCATTTTGGTCTAACTCTTGTTCTTGATCATGTTCTTGATCCTTACTAGTAATAGCATCATGAGATCTTTTATTGTTACTAGTTTCCTGTCCAGTCTTATTTGGAAATACATGTTCAAAGAATGATGCATTCTGAGACTCAATAATAGTATTTACATGCATGTCGGAATGTTCTGATTTATGAATCAAAAATCGATATGCACTACTATTCTTGGCATAACCAATGAAAATGCAATCAATGGTCTTAGGACCTATCTTAGTCTTTTTAGGACTAGGAATAGTCACTTTAGCTAAACACCCCCACACTTTTAAGTATTTGTAGGATGGTACTCCTTTCCTGCCGCAATTCATAAGGTGTTTGATTCACTTTCTTTCAGGGACTTTATTAAGTATATAATTAGCAGAAAGTATTGCTTCCCCACAAGTTCTGAGGTAATCCAGAACTTATTAACATGCCATTCATCATTTCTTTTAAAGTCCTATTTTTCCTTTCAGCAATTTCCATTTTGCTGAGGTGAGTAAAAGAGCGGTGATTTGATTGAAATTATTCCATGTTCTTTTACAAAATTCACCAAACGTTATTCATATTCACCACATCTATCACTTCTAAGTTTCTTGATTTTCTTACCAAGTTGTTTTTCAACTTCATTCTTATATGAATGAAAGTTCCTAAGCTTCATCCTTGTTCGAATTTAAATAAGCATAACTAATTCTAGTATAGTCATCTATAAAAGTGATAACATACTTTTTTCCACCTCTAGTTTGAATTGATTTAAATCACAAATGTCACTCTGAATTAATTCAGTGGTTCCGTACTTCTTTCATTGAATAAAAATGAGTTTTAGATAATTTTGCCTCAACACAAATTCACATTATGATTTGAATCAATGTCAAATTTAGTAAACATTCCATATTAATTAATCCACGTAAAAGATCCATAATTAAATGTCCTAGTCTACCATGGCATAAATTTGAAGACTCAAGCAAGTAAGAAGAAGAAGCATGTTTATTAATACCAGAGAGTCAACAGTCATTACATTCA